GAGCAAACCGGACAGGGCCAGGCACTATTTAAACAACAAAAAAAATTTTTTTATTGATTGATTTTACAGAGAGAAGAAGGGAGAGGGAGAGAGACATAGAAACATCAATAAGAGAGAACATCGATTGGCTACCTCCTGCATGCCCCCCACTGGGGATTTGGCCCACAACCTGGGCATGTGCCCTGACCGGGAATTGAACCAGGGACCTCTTGGTGCTTGGGTCGACGCTCAACCACTGAGCCACACAAGCCAGGCTACACCAGGCACTGTTTTATTTTATTTTTTACTTTTTATGGGTTTTGTTTTGTTTTTATTTTTTGTTTATTTTTAATCCTCACCCAAGGATATTTTTACATTTATGCTCAGACAAAGTGGGAGGGGGAGAGAGATGTGAGAGAGACACATCGATTGGTTGCCACCCGCATGACCCCAACCGGGGCAGGGATGAACCAAAACCGAGGTACATGCCTTTGGCCGGAATTGGACTTGGAACTCTTTGGTCGACAGGCCAACGCTCTAACCTCTGAGCCAAACCAGCTAGGGCCAGGCACTATTAAAAAATTTTTTTTTTGCCCTGGCCAGTTTGGCTCAGTGGTTACAGCATCGGCCCGTGGACCAGAGAGTCCTGGGTTCAATTCCCGCTAAGGGCACGTACTTCAGTTGCAGTTTTTCCCCAGCCCTGGTTGGGGTCATGTGGGTGGCGACCAGTCGATGTGTCTCTCTCACATTGATGTTTCTCTCTCTCTCTTCCTCCCTCTCTCCCTCCCACTCTATCTGAAGAGCAAAAATGTCCTCAGGTAAGGATAAATAAATAAATAAATAAATATTTTAATTGATCGATTTTAGAGAGAGATAGAAACATCAATGAGAGAGAGCATCGACTGGCCACCTCCTGTATGCCCCACCACTGGCAACCGGGCCCACAACCTGGCCATGTGCCCTGACTGGGAATCTACTGGCGACCTCTTGGTGCATGGGTCAAAGCTCAACCACTGAGCCACACCGGCCAGGCCAGACACTATTTTAAATGCTAGGAATGCAGAAGAGGACAAGTTAGATAAGGTCCCTGCCTCATGAAACTTCCATCTTAAGAGGAGATAGATGATAAATGAAGAAACAAGATGATTTCTGATAATAATAAATGCTGTGAAGAAAATAAAATCGTGTTATGAGATAGAAAATTATGAGGTCAAGGGGGTGCTATCATTTAGAAAGCCAGGGAAGGCCTTTGTGAGGATGAGTGGTCCAGGCAGAGGGAGCAGGACATGCAGAGTCCTAGAGGTGGGAATATTTGAGGGACAGAAAAGACAATGTGAATGGAAAACGAAGGATAAGAGAGAGAGTGGGATGCGATGAGGTGGAAGAGGTGGGCAGTTACCAGATCACGTAGGGTGCTGTGGCGGAGCATTTGGATTCTGTTCCAAGGTCAGTGGGGAAGTACTGATTGGATTCAAGCATGATCTCAGTGATATGAGTTTCCTAAGAGTAGCTCTGTGTCCTTGATATTCTGCTGCCCCCTCTTCCCCAGGACTGGCATCAAATAACAATAATAATAGTTGCTTTTATCCCACATTATACATCATGGACCAGGCACTGTTCTCAGGATTCTGTTAATCCTCATAAGTCGATGCTATGGTTCCTTATTATCCCACATTGTAGACCGGGAACCAGAGGCTTCAAGAGGTCATGTAGCTTGCCCAAGTTACCAGCTAGTGTTGGAACCAGGATTAGAATCCAGGATTAGAATCTGGATGCTGAGGGTCCAAAGGAAGAAGAACTGGAAGAATTTGTGAGCACCTGAGAACTTTTGAGCAGCAGGAGGGACAAGAACAGGTCAAGGACATCATAGGGTCAGATGAGGAAGAGACCAGCGGGTTGGTGCTGCTGGAAAAGAGGAGAGAAGACTGGAGAACCAGAAAGCCAGATGGAGGGGTTCTGTCCTTTCTTCCTCTGAATATAGCAAAGACAAGCCTCAAAACTGAGGGCCTGGCTGCCTGAGGCTGCCTCCCAGGGTCTTAGCTGCCCACCCAACCTGGGCTTTCTCCAGCCTAACCTGGAGCCCACAGCTCTCCCTGAACAAGTTAGAATTGCTTTAACCTCTGTGAAAGGGAAGGTGAGGATGAGGCATAAGGCAAGGGGGAAAGGCCCCTCCTGCCCTCAGCAAAAACCTCTTCCATCTTTCATGAAAGCATGAGGTGAAGAGGAAAAGCCATGGAGGGAGATCACTGTGCTACCTGACACACATTCAATCTTCACCACAGTCCCCGTTACAGATGAGGAACTACAGATGTTTTATAGCTTGACCAGGGCACACAGCCAATAAACCAGGATTCACTTCCAAGTCTGCCTGTCTCTGCTCAGAGCTTCAGCACTCCAGAAGCAGCCTATTTTCCAACAGGTTTGCACTCTGCTGCCCCTACCTACATCTCCCCAAGGACTCAACCCCATTGCCCCCCTCCCAAACAATCCTTCTGCCTGGTCCAAGAGCTTCCTCAGCCCTTTCTGGCCTTCTGATGCATCTGGAAATTTAAAAGTTCCTCTACCATCTTAAGAGAATCAGACTGTTCAGGATTCCTAGCCCCGCGCCCAGGTCTGCACTCCATCTATGATCCAAGCCCAAAACCAATATTGTCCACCCCTGTGTTCACCCCAGAATCTCTCCTTAATCCACCACATAAGTTCCACCCTCCCCTCTGCACAGGGTTCTTCATAGGTGCCCAGGCAATAGGGAAGAGAAGGGGTCTATTCTCAGAACACCAGTCAAAGCAGGTATTCTCACCTTCCCCCCTGAGAAATACCAGGATGTGTGGGCCTGTGGAATGTGGAGGGGGTGGGGCACCTATCTGTCCAAGGCCTAAGGTTCACAAAGGGCCTTAAGTTAGACTTTTGATTGCCAAATAAGGTTATACAGAGTCTATTTTTTTGTGTGTGTTTTTGTGGATGTAAAAGGGGATATGAACAAGTTCAGTAACAAAAAATAACCTCACAGGGTGACCTGATTATAAACTCCTAACTGGGCAGGTCACAGTGGCTATAACTTCTTTGGCAAAATGTTTTTGAGCAAGCCCTGTATATTTTTTTTATGCATCTAGGTTAACATACCTTTGAAATGTCAGAAGTAATCCTCTCTTCCAGACCCCTTGAAGGTGACCACCCTCAAAGGAGCACATAATCTAGTTAACTATCCTGTACCTTGCTTTCTCCCACCCTCATGTATTCTTAAATTCTCTCAATTCCAAATGTATGAAAGAAACTGTAAAACTCATTCCTGGGAGCATTTAGGATCTTGCTTCCGGAGATTGTCCTCAATTTGGTGCAAATGAACGCTTATAAAAATTCTCTGCAGGTTTGGACATTTCTTACATCAACAATTTGAAGTGTTAATTTGTTAAATGTAAATATTGAAAACCGACTACAGCTTTTCAATCGTGTTTGGCATCTCACTTTAAAATAGGAGGAACCTAAAAAAAAAAATAGCAGGAACCTCAAAAATAAAAGAAAGGCGTCTTCCCTCCTGCCTCTACGAGACCGACCGTTGTGCCCCAAAAGAAAGACGGGGGGGGGGGGGGGGGCAGCCTGGAGGGGGGATAGCTGGAAAGAGACCGCGTGCACCAAGGGGAAATAATGTGGCAGGAGAGGTCTGGAGACTCAAGAGCCCTGTCCTTTCAGCTGAAACTCCTGGAAGGCCAGATCCCAGCTCCTCTGAGAGTTCTGCCCTTTTGTGTCCGTGGTCCCCACGCCTGCTCTTCGTGGCAGCAGAAATGTGACAGGAAGAGGGCTGGGGACAGGCCCAGGCTGGCAGAGGGGTGTAAGAGGCAGCACAACTCGCCCGCCTGCAGCTCTGGGACCAGATGATCAGGCTTCAAGTTCTTTCGCCGGGGCCAGAATCCATGCCCACCCCCAGACCCCTGGCCTGTCCGCTGAAGGAAAGGCGGTTAACCCTGTCACTCCTGCAAAAGCAATGCCAAGGGAGAAGAGAGGCTGCTCTGAGGACCCCAGAAAGGCGGAAGGAGTGCGCTCCCTCCCATGGGAAAGACAGATGTAGGGCTAATGAAAGGGAGGCCGGGAGGCGCGGGGCTGGCGGGGGAGCGCGGGGGCGTGACCGGGAGAGACAAGCCCCAAGAAGGGAGCGGACCAGACCACCCCGAGGGCCGTCGCGATGTCGGAGAAAGAAGTCGCAGGGGAAAGGGGCCAAGAGGGGACGTATAGTTTGGCCCGAGGGTCCTGAGATGAAACTCAACACCCGCCTTTGGAGGGATCGTCCTGCTTTCTCCTCCCCTCCTTCCCTTCCCCTCCCTTTTCCCCTCCCTCCTTTCTCTTAATCCCCAGGACAGAGCCCCGCGCCGGAGCAGAGGGCCCGAGGGGAAGAGAAAGGAACTGCACAGAGAGGGAGCCTGGAGCCCGGGAAGGGGAGGGAAGGGGAGCCGCGAGCAGGAGTGAGCCTAAAGGCCACGCGCGACCCCCCGAAGCCTTCCCAGCCCTCTTAGTGTCCACCCCAACTCCAGGCGAGTCCACAGGCCCCTGGCCCCTGGCCCTCCTTTGCTTTCTCTTGGCTCCTTTTGCTTTGTGGCCTTTTTCTCCGTTCCCAGAGACACCTGGGGGCTGTCCCGAGCTCTGGGGGCGCCGAGAGGTGCGCGTGAGCGGGGCGGCGGGCCGGCGCCGAGTGGGAGCTGGCGCCGGGGCCCTGCGCGCTGCGGCCGCGGGTGGAGGTGAGCCGGTGGGCCCCAGTGGGCCCCTGTTTGGCTTTGGAAAGGCCCTCCCGCCCTTGCGAGCCTTGCCGCGGTGCCATCGCGGCGCCCCCAGACCCGGGCGTGCAGAGAGCGAGCGTGCGCGAGTGCGAACCGCCGGGCCGCGGGGCGGGCGAGTGCCCGGGCCGAAAGCAGCCACGCAGGACACGCAGCCCCACGGCCACGCTCTCGCAGGCCTTCGGCGTCAGCCTGACCTCCTCTCGCCAAGTTGGGCGAGTTTAAAGAGGGGCGTATGGCTCAGTTCTAGCTTTCCCTCGCTCCCCAGCAGCGAGGCCGCCGCATTGCCCCGACCACAGGCCTGGGAGCTCCGCTCTTCGACCCTGGGTCGGGTTGGGCTGGTTCCTAAACTCGCTCGTCCAGCCCGACCGCTCAGGCGGCTTCTCCCAGCCCTCGGGGCAAGACAGCGGCCTGGAGAGGCGTCCAGCGCCTTAGTTCCCTCCGCGCCTGCCCCTGCCCTGGAAGGGAGCCAGACCCTGCGGACCTGGGGTGTCTCCAGGGCCTAGGGCAGGCAGCTCCGGGGGCCTGGCCAGTCCAGCGGCCCCCGGGAGGCCGCGGGGACAGTACAGAGCGCGCGCCTTTGGATAAGGTCCGCAGCGACGCCCCAGCCCGCCCTGCTGCTCCTCCTCCTGCTCGGCCAAGCTGCCTCCCATTTGGGGAGTATTGTGGGTTTTCTTTCTCCTCCTCCAACCTCTGCGGAGGCCACGACTCAGGCACCAAAGCTGGGGGCCGCCCCCATGGTGCGGGGTAGCCGCTGCTGAAGTCAGCGGAACAGCTTGGCCTGGAGCGGGCCGCGCGGGGAGGCAAGGCCATGGCCATAGCCACGTCGGTGAGTGCACCCCGGAGAAGAGGCTGCTGGGCAGAGACCTCCACAGCTGCTCTGCACTCTGTCACTCTTATTTCTGCCTTCTCTTTGTCTCTTTTCTTGATCCCTTTCTTCTCCAGGAGGCTATGTCCCTCTCCTCTCACTTTTATTTTCCGTTCTCACTCCTCATCCCTAGCTCCTGTGTCTAGGTTCCCCCTTTCCCACCCCCCTCCCTATTCTCTTTTTCTTTCTAGAGGCTGTCCTGGATAGAGGGGAGGGGGCAAGTTTAGCCCGCGTCCTATCTGCTCATTTATTGGCGGGAACAGATGGCCACTGGTGGCTGGCAGGGGCTTGTGATTGGGAGGCAAGTAAAAGGTTGGGAGGGGGCTGAAAAATGGAGGTGGCTTCAGGAAAATGGGAGAGGCTGGAGGGCCCAAGAAGGCCCTTCTCTAGGGGAGGGATGAAGGAAAGGGAGGAGATGGAGCAATGAGAGAGATCTGGCAGAGAGAAAGAAAATAGAAGGAAGGGGGAGGTGATGTCAGCTAGCCTTTGGCCACTTTCTGAGGACAAAAGGAGGGGACAGCTGGCTGGCTTGATGGGACAGTGGGAGGAAGTGGCAGAGAGCGTGTGGCCCACTGCCACTCCTCACTGAGGCAGCCCCTCCCTCACAAGTGAGCCGGGTTCCTGAGAAGGGGGTAGAGCACCGGTGACCACACCCATCATCGATCAGTCTATCCGCAACTCTAGCCTGGGTGCTTGCAATTGCCAGGCCCAGAGGTTTGGCCCCATTGGACAGAATTCAAACCTAACACTGGGAGGAGCTCTGCGCAGCCCCACCTCTGCTTTCTGTCTTGTACTGGTCTGAATTCCAAGCAACTCTGTTCTTTTTCCACCCTTCCCAGGCTCTAGGATTCCCAGCAAAAGGGAGCCTCTCTGAATGGGTACTCCGGGAAGGAGGCTGGAAAGAAAACTATGGCTCCTGACACCCTCCCATATCCCTGTAGGAAGAGTTCAAGTTTCACTCCTCCTCATCCCAAACTCCTTTTAGTTCTTCCATCTGTATGATGGTGAGAAAAACCATCATAGTTTTCAGAGCTGGGAGAGGGGGAGATCCTGAAAATAGTGGGTGTACTCTGACAAAGATGCTGGCTCAGGAGCCAGCTGGTCAGCTATGTAGTCCCAGGAGGTAGATTTTTCTTTTTACCCAGGGATGGGGGTGGGAGTATTTATGCTAATGAAACTCACAGGATCCTAGTAACAGCTAATACTTATTGAGCATTTTCTAGCCCCAAGCTTTGTCCTGGTTGCTTCATGCATTATCTCATCCAGTCTTCACAACATCCCTGTGAGGATAGTGCTATTATTATCCACAAATGGATATTCAGATATGGATATGGAATTCTACAGAGGAAACTGAGGCTCAGAAAGGTTTAACAACCTGCCCAAAGTCACCCAGTTCTGTCTGTCTCTGAACTGTGCTTGTTAAATCCCTGGCTAGATCCAAAACACCAATTTATAATTCAATTAGAAAAAAAAGTGCCAGCCCTGGCCAGTTTGGCACAGCTGTTAGGGTGTTGACCCACGGACCAAAGAGTCGAGGGTTCGATTCCAGTCAAGGGCATGTGCCTTAGTTTTGGTCGGGGAGGCAACTAGTCAATGTGTCCCTCTCACGTCGATGTTTCTCTCTCTCCCTCCCACTCTATCTGAAGATAAATAGAAAAATATCCTCAGGTACCCAGTCAGTGTGGCTCACTGGTTGAGCGTTAACCCATGCACCAAGTGGTCTCTGGTTCGATTCCCGGTCAGGGCACATGCCCAGGTTGTGGGCCCAGTCCCCAGTGAGGGGCATGTAGGAGGCGGCCAATCCATATTCTCTCTCATTGATGTTTCTATCTCTCTCTCCCTCTCCTTTCCTCTCTCTCTAAAAATTAATAAAGAAAAAGAATTTTTTTTAAGAAAAATATCCTCCAGTAAGGATTTAAAAAAAGAAAGAAAGAAATTAACCAGGAATTTGTATCATCTAATTAGCATGTTTTCCTTCTGTGGAACAATATCCTTTAGAAGCCAGTATAATCAGAAAATATCCTTTAGAAGCCAATATAATCAGAAAATGGTTTGATGAGTTTGGAGTCAGGCAAGAGGAGAAGTTCGTTTGTTGTTGGAATCACCCAGTCACAAAGGGCTGGGCAACCTCTCCACCCAAGAGAAATACCAGCCAAGGGAAACATGTACTCATACTGTCTGAGCAGGGCATCCTTCTCCCCAGGGCCTGGTGGCCAGATTCAGCCTGCCAGAGATCTTTAGCTTGAGACTTTTTACTGAATTAGCCCATATGGATTACTTGCTCGGTAATGCCTAGCTGCCTGCTCTCCACCGTCACTGTGAAAGCCACCACTGCCTAGGATGTGGCCAGCAGGCGCCGTCACTTAGCAAACATAACTGAATCAGAATGTGTTTCAATACTGTGAACGGTTTGAGCTTGATTCTGCCAAAGGACATTGTGGAACTAGAGCCCTGTGAAGGGTGACTAGCAAAGGGAAATTGTGTATAGTGAAGACTTCATATGTGCTTGAGTCATGGACCTTCTTGACTTAACCACTGCTAAGTAATATAAGAAGAAAAAAGTAGATCCTTTTTTTTTTTCCCCAATATATTTTTATTGATTTTTAAAGAGAAAGGGAGAGAAAGAGAAATATCCATGTGAGAGTGGAACCTCTATCGGCTGCCTCCTGCATGCCCCCTGGAGTTGGGGGCAAACTGTTCATGTGCCCTCACCAGGAACCGAACCAGCAACCTTTTGGTGCACAGGATGATGCCCAACCAACTGAGCCACCCCAGCCAGGGCAGAAGTAGATCTTCAGTGTTTGTGGTTGGGAAGAGGCAGTGGAAGAGTGATTGAGACTGCAGGCTCTGGAATCAGCCTGGGGTTCAAATGATGCCCCACCAGCTGTATGTAGTTGGGTAAAGTACTAACCTCTCTGTTCCAGTTTCCTTTCCAAATGGGGATAATGATGGCTTTTCCCTTCTAAGGTTGCTGTGAAGATTAAATGAGATGAGATGATTAGTGCAAAGACTTTACAGTGTCTGGATACATAATTTGCACTTAGTATCTGTGACTTCCTACCTGAACATGTGGCACTCCAAGAAAAAAGCTTAGATGTCTCTACCAGACAGGACTGGAAACAGGCTGATAAATGCTTGCCCTTAGTTGGTCCACAAGCCCCCTAAACACACACACACACACACAAGTCTATATCTTTTTCTCCATGGTAACTCAGCCTCTTCTGAGAACCTTATTTGCTCAGACTGAGAACAAAAAAAAAATTGCTTGGGTTTCTGTTTTTCCCTCATTCTGCCTCCGTACTGTCTGGTCTGGGCCTCTGCCAGTCCCTCTCAGAGTGAGGGGGGTCTCTGCAGCTGCTTCATCTAACCTTGGGCTTGTGAGGATGCTGACCGGGAAACAGGGAAGGTAAAGGCAATTCTGTGGGAGACCTTAGCATGACTTCATTGTATACACGAGGCTTTGAAAGAAATTCATTTAACATGTTTATTGAGGACTGATTCTAGGTGAGATCCTATTGCAGAGACGAGGAATCTATTAAAAGAGTAAATAGACAAATAATTTATGAAGGAAACAATGGGTGGGGACAGAATGGGGTGGAAGAAGAGTGAAGAAAAGGTCTCTTTGAGAAGATGATATTTTAGCAGAACTGAAGGGTGGGAAAGGGCCAGTCGGGACAAGAGCCTTCTGGGTAAAGAAAACAGCAAGTGCAAAGACCCTGGGGTGGGAAAGAGGTTGTCTAGTTCAAGGAATAGAAAGGAAGAGGGACAGTGCAGGGACTGAAGCGGGAGAAAGGCAGGGCCCAGACAGGAAGAACTGAGACAGGAGGTCAGATTTTAGCTTGAGGGAAATGAGCTCTAAAGTGTTTTGAACAGCAGGTGCTGTGACTTAATGTGTGTGAAGACCCCTCTTACGACTCCCACCTCACCCACCAGGCCCAGCTAGCCCGGGCACTCTACGACAACACCGCTGAGTCCCCCCAGGAGCTGTCCTTCCGCCGAGGGGACGTTCTACGGGTACTGCAGAGGGAGGGTGCTGGTGGGCTGGATGGCTGGTGCCTCTGCTCCCTGCATGGCCAGCAGGGCATTGTGCCCGCCAACAGAGTGAAGCTCCTTCCTGATGGCCCGGCACCCAAGCCCAGCCTCTCCCAGGTGCCCCCAGCCGAGCCTGGCTCACCAAATCCAGCCCCAGAGCACAGCAATGACGACCAGGAGGTGAGAGCTAGAGCCCTCCCAGCCCCAAGCCAGGAGACTCCCTTTCCCTTCTGCAGGGGCCTGCAGCGTTCTGGGCAGGGAGAGCCCTAAGACCTCAGCTCTTCAGGGCTCTGCTGTAGGAAACCTGTCTGCCATCCCTCTCTGGGTTCTACTTCCCTTGGGACAGGGAGGGGGTTGGAAGGTGTCTACACTCCAAGGCACATGTTACCTGATTCCCCGGTCCCCTCTCCTGACCCACACATCTTGATACCCCCAGGTGTATGTGGTGCCACCCCCAGCTCGGCCCTGCCTGCCCTCCCCCGACCCCATCTACAAGGTCCCCAGAGGCAGTGGGACTCAACTGGCTGCCCCTGGAGATGCCTTGGAGGTGAGGGCTAGAGGTCTGAGTATATGTTGGGTAGGGAACAGAGGCTCTGGAGGGAATCCGGTGTTGAACCTGGTGGTAACTAGCCGCTCCCTCTCCAGGTCTACGACGTGCCTTCCTCTGCCCTCCGAGTTCCCTCCAGTGACCCCTATGACTCTCCTGCTTCCTTTTCCCGCCCTCTGGCCCGAGTCACCCCACAACCCCCTGGAGAAGATGAAGCTCCCTATGACGTGCCTCTGACCCTGAAGCTATCAGAGCTGGAGCCAGATCCGGAGTGGGAGGAGGGCCGAGAACCAGGGCCCCCCCTCTATGCTGCCCCCTCCAACCTGAAACGGGCATCAGCCCTGCTCAATCTGTATGAGGCCCCTGAGGAGCTGCTAGCAGATGGGGAAGGCAGCGCTGACGAGGGCATCTATGACGTGCCCCTGCTGGGGCCAGAGACACCTTCTCCAGAGCCCCCGGGAGCCTTGGCCTCCAACGACCCGGACACCCGGGCCCTGCTTCTAGCCAGAAGCCCTCCACCCTCACACAGGCCCCGGCTGCCCTCTGCTGAGAGCCTGTCCCGCCGCCCTCTGCCTGCCCTGCCTGTCCCTGAGGCCCCCAGTCCTTCCCCGGCTCCCTCTCCTGCTCCAGGCCGAAAGGGCAGCATTCAGGACAGGCCTCTGCCCCCGCCTCCACCCCGCCTGCCTGGCTTTGGGGGCCCTAAGGTCGAGGGGGATTCAGAGGGCCGGGAGGTGGAGGATGAGTCTGCAGGACACCACAATGAGTATGAGGGCATCCCGATGGCCGAGGAGTATGACTACGTCCACCTGAAGGTGAGCTCGCCTCCAGCCAGCCCTCTGGAGAACCACGGGGAGGGGGGAGGAGGCCTGACCCTGCACCCTTGGGCCTGGGACCCCAGTACTTGGCCACATCATGTGTACCAGTGCCACGTTCCTCCCCCTAAACCCAGGCTGGGGTCCCTGATCCCTCTGACTTGCCACCAGAGCTCTCAGACCCAGCTGGAGTCTGGGGATTGCAACTTCTGGTGCCAGGAGAGGCCTCTAGAAGGAAGGGGAAGTGGGGAGGGCCAGGAAGACCAAGGAGGCCACCTGCCCTGTTCCCCCACCCCTGCACTGAGGCTCTGGCCCCTTCCTGCAGGGTATGGAGAAAGCTCAAGAATCCAGGCCCCTGGATAAGGCCTGCCCCGGGGATCCTGAACTGCCGGACACGGGGCCACCGGAACAGCAGGTGATCCTGTGGGGGTGATGCTAGAGAAGGGACTGGGGAAGGAGGAGCAGGAACATAGAAGAAGGAATACATATATATATTTTTTATCCTCACCCGAGGACATTTTTGCACTTATCTTCAGATAGAGCAGGAAGGAGAGAGAGAGAGAGAGAGAATCATCAATGTGAGAGAGACACATCGAGTGGTGGCCACCCACACAACCCCAACCGAGGCCAGGGATGAACTGCAACCGAGGTATGTGCCCTTAGCGGAAATCGAACCCGGGACTCTGGTCCGCAGGCCGTCACTCCAACCAGCCAGAGCAAAGAAGGAAGATTCTTAACTGAACCATCAAGGGAACTTGAATAGGACAGGGGTAAAAGTTCATTGAAACAGAGCAGTTGGAGTACACAGGAGTTAAAATTCAAGAGGAAGGAGCTGGAACTTAGAAAAGAATATCAGGAATTCGAAAGCGGGGAAAGAATGTGTTGGAGAGGAATCAGAAAACCAGGCAGTTGGGAGCAGCAAGTTTCTGGGCTGTGGGTCAGAGCTGGGCCAGGTGACTTCTGAGGCCCCTTCCAACTGAATTCCTGGGTTCCCAGGAGACCTGGCTCCTAATCCCAGCTCCGCCATTAAGAAACCAGGGGCTCTGAAGTAGCCAGTTAATCTCTCTGGGCCTCAGGAAAGTGAGGTGGTCTCCTTGTCTAAAATGGTCTTAATCACAATAGCTACCACTTATTAGGTATTTACCAGGCACCAGACCCTGTACTAAGCACATTGCATGCCTCAACACTAATCATAGTTATAGAAAGTACTCATACAGAGCCAGGCTGGTGTGGCTAAGTGGTTGAGCATCAACCCATGCACGAGAGGTCACTGGTTCAATTCCTGGTCAGGACACATGCCCATGCTGTGGCCCAGTCCCCAGTGGGGGACATGCAGGAGGTGGCCAATCAATGTTCTCTCTCATTCCTTCCTCTTCCTTCCTCTCTAACATCAAAAAAGAAAAAAAAAACAAAAAAACTTTTTTTAAAGAAAAGAAAGTACTCATACAGGGCATACAGTGTGCAGTGCTCTGTTCTGAGCCCCGTCTCTGTACTGTATCAATCCATCTTCACTGCAGCCTTGGGAGGCAGATACTAGACCTGCACTGTCCACTATGGTAGCCACTAGCCACATATGGCTATCAATGACTTGAAATGTGGCTACTCTGAATTGAAATGTGCTGTAATATAAAATGCACACCAGATTTTGCAGACATGATGTGAAAAACATCTTAATAATTTATATATTGAGTACATGTTAAAATAAACATTTTTATATTTAGTGTTTAAAAATAGCAGTTTCTTTTTACTTTTAATGTGGCTACTATAAATGTTAAAATAACATGTGTAGTTCACATTGTTTATTTTGGACAGTACTAGATCCCCAGTTTCGAGATAAGGAAAAAATGAAGTTCAGAGACTTATTTGAGGTTGTTTGAATCCAGATGTGTCTGCCATCAGCTCTGAGTGCTTTCTTGCCAGTCGCTATGAGCATCCAACTTTTCTGATAGCAATCTGGCTGGTGTGGCTCAGTGGTTGAGTGTTGACCCATGCACCAAGAGGTCCCCAATTTGATACCCAGTCAGGACTCATGCCCAGGTTGCAGGCCTAATCCCCAGTGGGGAGCATGCAGGAGGCGGCCAGTCAATGTTCTCTCCCATAGATTTTTCTATCTCTCTCTCCCTTGAAAGAAAGAAAGAAAGAAAGAAAGAAAGAAAGAAAGAAAGAAAGAAAGAAAGAAAGAAAGAAAGAAAGGAAAGAAAGAAAGAAAGAAAATAATAAAATCAATCAATAAATAAAAATTTTAAATAAATTTTCTGACGGCAGAGGTAAGAGCTGAAGGAACTGCACTAGGAAGAAAGGAAGGGCTGAGGAACAAAGGGAGGGACGGGGAAAGGAAGGTTCTCACTGACCACTCCTCTTGCCCTTAGGAGGTCCTGTCCCCAGGAGAGCCGCTGGTTCTGCCCGCTGGAGACCTACAGCTCCTGCACTTCTATGCAGGGCAGTGCCAGAGCCACTACTCAACACTGCAGGCGGCCGTGGCGGCCCTGATGTCCAGCACCAGGGCCAAGCAGCCCCCACGCCTCTTCGTGCCCCATGGCAAGCGGTTGGTGGTGGCTGCTCACCGCCTGGTGTTTGTGGGGGATACCCTGGGCCGGCTGGCAGCCTCCGCCCCTCTCCGAGCACAGGTCGGGGCTGCAGGTACAGCACTGGGCCAGGCACTGCAGGCTACTGTGCTCGCTGTCAAGGGGGCCGCCCTGGGCTACCCATCTGATTCTGCAGCCCAAGAGATGGCACGGTCTGTGACACAGCTGGCAGGGCAGGCCCTGCAGTTCACCACCCTGCTCACCAGCCTGGCCCCCTGACGGCCCTGGGCCCTGCTCTGCCCCTCCCCTGCCTGCCAGAGCCTCCTCCAGTCCTTGGGCAGCTGGAGGGCTGTTTCAGGTACTAGGAGAGGTGGCAGTCTTTCCCCGTTCCTGCCCCTTCCAGTCATCTCAGTCTCTCACAGAGGCATCTCTTCCCTCCATCCCGCAGCTTTTTGTATGAGCCATTTTGTATAAATTATTTTTATTTAATATCCCCTGCTTTGTCAGAAGCAGGTGCCAAGCCCTCTGGGGCAGGGAGGAACTGGACTCTTCCTCCTCTCTCAGCCTGGGGTGGAGGTACTTGGTCGCTGCTCTGCCACCCACCTCTGGAAGCTTGGCGCCACAGAGAACCAGGTGGCTGAAACCTGGGCCATCTGAGCCCCTTTCTTGTCCTGCTTCTTGGCTATAGAACATCAGTGTCTCACTGTTAGTTGAGAATGAGGGCAGTACATTGATTGCCCAGAATGTGAAGGTCTGGGAGAAGCCAGAGGGCTCCTCCCAAAGGGAGGCTGGAGAGACCGGGTCCTAGGCACTGGGCATGCATCTCAATAAACCCTGCTGTCTGGTTCCCTGACTGTTTCTTGGGAGCCTGGGGTGGGGTTAGGGAGGCACAGGCTTGGTGTCCCTGAGCCAAACCTATGGGGCACACACTGGACAGGATGCCTTTAGGGATTTGGGGGAAATTATTCATTCAGGTTCTCAGCTCCCATGACAGTGCTATAGTTCTGAAGGTACATTGTGGGGGTGGGATGGACATAAATGAGGCAGTTGAAATAAATAAATTAAAAAACCCACCTGCCACAGGTTTAACAGTTGCCGGTAATGGAAGTGAACAGGGTGATGTGAAAGACTAATTAGATGAGGGGAGAAGCCATTGAGACTTTAGCCGGGAGGGTTGGGAGGTGATAGCTGAACTGAGATCCCAAGGATGAGAACTCAGAAGACAACTAGCAGTCCAGGAAGACAGACACAGGACTGACTGGGGTTCTCTCCAAGACCTTATTGTCAGAAAATGATATTAGCCCTGGCCAGTTTGGCTCAGTGTTTGGAGAGTTGGCCTGCGGTCCAGAGAGACCCGGGTTCGGTTCCCACTAAGGGCACATATCTCAATTGCAGTTTGTCCCCGGCCCTGGTTGGGTCGTGCGGGTGGCAACCACTCGATGTGTACCTTTCACATCGATGTTTCTCTCTCTCTCTCTCTCTCTCTCTCCCTCCCTCCCTCCCTCCCTCCCTCCCTCCCTCCCACTCTATCTGAACAAAAAATGGGAAAATGTCCTCGGGTGAGGATAAAAAAATAATAATAAAATTAGAAGATGATGTTATTAGAGAGGTGCACATTTGGAGAGGCTGGCCACACAAGAGCTTTTTTTTTTTTAATCCTCATCCAAGGATATTTTTCTATTTTCAGATAGAGTGAGAGAGAGAGAAAGAGACATCGATTGGTTGCCTCCCGAATGAGCCCAACCAGGGCCAGGGACTGAACCACAACTGAGATGTGTGCCCTTGACTGGAATTGAACCCTCAACTCTGGTCCACGGGCCAACACTCCAAAGGCTGAGCCAAACCAGCCAAGGCCACATGAGCTTTTTTTTTTTTTTTTATCCTCACCCGAGGATATTTTTCCATTTTTTGTACAGATAGAATGGGAGGGAGAGAGAGAGAGAAACATCGACGTGAAGGGACACATCGAGTGGCTGCCACCCGCACGACCAACCAGGGCCGGGGGCAAACTGCAACAGAAGTACGTGCCCTTAGCGGGAACCGAACCCGGATCTCTCCGGACCGCAGGCCGACGCTCTAACCACTGAGCCAAACTGGCCAGGGCCACATGAGCTTTTAAAAGTGCTGTGCTGAAGAGGTCAGTCACCCCAACTATCAGCTGTGTGCCGTAGGACAGCTCTGATCAGCGGGAGAGTGCTGCTGCCAGCCTGGTTAACTCTCCCCTTTGGTTAACTCAACAGGGTCAACCCCTTAAACTCTCCTTCCCAGGCTTTTGCTGACCGTGGTTCTGTACACACCATCCTTTAGAGAAGCTGAGGGACTGATGTATGCAGTGTTGGATGAGCCATAGTATAGATGGGGATCACTCTGGCTATTTGCCACAAAGGAAATCCAAGCCACAGATCCATTGTTTCAGTCCGTTTTCCTAATGATGCCCTGGCACAGTGACTGGGCTAGAAGCACCCAAACTTCAGGCCCATCCTAGTGTCTTGGCATCCCCTGTGCATTTGCCTCCTTCACTGGGGGTTCCTTCTTTCTCATTTCACTCTCAAAGGAAACATTTCCAGACTCTGGGGCCACCAACATTCATCTCTATGTGTTGACTTATAACGGGGCCATCCTCCATCGTCCAGAAAGAGATCAGCCTGGAATTAGAGTTAGTCCCCAAAACACCATGTACTTGTGCCTATGGTAAATCCTGTCAGTTCCTCAGAGCCCCGGGTTCAGCTTTGACAGGAAGTTGATCATAATGGTCTCACAGTGTTGTTGCGAGACGCTAACAAGATAACGCATATGAATAGCCCAGCACCACATAAAGTTAAGGGATTATTCCAGGACAGACAAGAACACAGACAAATAAATCCTCAAGGAATGTTGGCTGTGCCAGCAGCAAAGTAAATCCTGGGGAGGTGCTGAAATGAGTTGGGGGGAGGGAAGTGGAGGGAGGCTGCTAAAGACATTGGACGTTTCCCATAATTGGAAAATTTCTGAGCAGAGGAGACAGAAGTGTGGTTCAGTGGAGACGAGGGAATGGATTTCCTGACTGACAGGACACTTCTTTTCAGTCCTTACCTGAGATTAGAGAATGAAATACCTATTAGGTTTCAAATCTCTTAGACAAGTGCATCTCTAATGGGGATCTGGTTAAAAAGCCTGTGATTCTGTGTTTCTAACAAACTCCTAGGTGATGGTGGCTACTACTGGTCTGTAAATCACTGCATAGCAATTCTAGGAGTTAGGGAAGGCTTCTGAAGCAAATATGCTTGAGCTGACAGCTGAAGGATGAGAAGGGGGAAGAGAAGCCTTCTAGCATAAGCACAAGCCTGTGTCTGTGGCATTGAAACAAAAAACAAAATCAGTCCAGTGTGACTGCAGTGAATGAGAAGTGAGACGGAGCTGCAGAGAGCGTGGGGCCATGCACATAGGACCATAATGAAATATTACTCTACCTTGATGGTGAGAAGCCACTGAAAGTTGTTAAGCAGGAAAGGGACATGAGCAGATCCACATATTGTTTTTTTTGTTTTGTTTTGTTTTGTTTGTTTTGTTTTTGTGTGTGTTGGTTTTTTTTTGTTTTGTTTTTTTTTTGGTACGTGCCCCTAGCGGGAACTGAACCCAGGACTCTGGTCCCCAGGCCGATGCTCCAACTGCTGAGCCAAACCAGCTAGGGCATGGACAGGATTTTGTAAAGGATTTGAATGGAGGGGAGGGGAGCATAAGGAAAAGGGCACTCTAAGGACTGTCACCTGTTGGATGATGAGGGTGCCATTCACTGAGGACACCCTCGAAGACAACGAGGTTACCTGGGAAAGAGCATGAGTTTGGTCTTGGGTACATTGAGTGTGAGGCCCCTGTGAGTCATCCAAGGTAAGAGGTCAAAGAAGAGGGTCCAAGGGTCAGAAGCAAGGGGGGAGTGAAACTTAAGAAACAGATTTCTCCCTCAGTGCCCTGAAACGCCCCCACCCCTAATCCCCAGCTGCATAAAAACTCCCTACTTTTGCTTTTTGAGGAAGACAAATTTGAGAGATCTTGCTCTCTCTCCCTCTTGATTTGGCCAAATCGAATAAACCTTTATCTCCAAGCACCAGCAACTCCGTGTTTAGGTTACTACGGCATTTACACACAAACTTGACTTTTGGAAGGGGGTTCAGTAACAGGAGCTGGAAATGTAAATCTGAGTACCAGGTTTGTGTTGTTTATATTGAGGGTAAAGCTGTGGGCATGGGTGAGATCCCCAGGTGCAGAGAGCAGTGTGAAATAAGAGGAGGACCTAGGACTACACCTCTCAGGATCACAGGCATGTGATCCTGATGATGAAGAGGAGGATGTGCCTGCAGTGGAGAAGAGGAGCAAGAGAAAGAAAACCCTGAGAGTGCGGGACTTAGCAGCCAAGGAAGAAAGTATTTAGAGGAAGGGGTGGTCAACAGTGCCAGGTGCCCTTGAGAAATGACAGTGACAAACCAGACAAGTGGTCTTGTACAGGAGTGTAGCCGGGCCTGTGTACAGTGCCCAACTCAGCCCTCCATGAGAGACCCCTGTACTGTGATTGTCATTACACTGGTCTTTCTCCCCAAAAAGCTACTCCAAGTTGTTTTGTTCATTCTGTTATCCCCAAAGCCTAGCACAGGGCCAGGCACAGAATAGAAGCTTCACAAATTTTATTGAGAAATGAATGAGTGGATGGATGGATGGATGGATGGGTGGATGGGTGGGTGGATGGGTGGATGGATGATAAGGAAGAATTGGAAGCAAAGAAGGAATCTCTGGCATCTGCCTAGGTTAGCTACTATCCTTCAGCCCCCCCCCCCCCTTTTTTTTTTTACTGCAATAGCCCTCAGACGCAGGGAACAGAAACAGGGCCCATCCTCTCTGTCTCCTGGGTCCTGCTCCCCCCCACCCCACCCCATCTCTCTGATGATGAGTCTGAGCCAAAGGTTCTGCTGACGTGAGAAGGGGAGGAGAGTCTGGAGGAAGGGGAGGAGAAATCCGCGCAGAGATCGCAAAGACGAAGGAGGCTCCCGCGGCTGCAGAGCTGCAGAGCGGGGTCTCTGGGCTCTGTGTCCGGGCACCCGTTGCCCCACTGGGCCAAAGGACAGTGCATCCTTCCGGTGAGGCCGGGCAGGGCCCCTGAGGTCGGCAAGCTGGCTCCCCGGGTGGCCACCGGGACCCCGGAGCCCAATGGCGGGGGCGGCAGCAAAATCGACAGCAATGTAGAGATCACCCCCAGCCCCAATGGAGTAAGTGCCGGCGCGCTGAGGGCTACGCCATCACCTCCCCATCACCTCCCCGCACCCGCACCAAGAGCCCGGCGTTTTCCTCCGCGCATCCCCTGCCCCTGACTGCCTTTCTCGAGCGCGCCGGCCCTCTTCCCTCATTTTACGGTTTTTTCCCATTCATCCTTCTTCTGCCTCTCCCTGCCCGCGCCTCCCCACCCCCAGCAGGTTGGGACCCTCGGAGATGCGGTGCCCACGGAGCAGCTGCAGGGTGAGCGAGAGCGCGAGCGGGAGGGGGAGGGCGACGCGGGCGGCGACGGGCTGGGCAGCAGCAGCTTGTCGTTGGCCGTGCCTCCCGGCCCGCTCAGCTTCGAGGCGCTGCTTGCTCAGGTAGGAGCACTGGGCGGGGGGCAGCAGCTGCAGCTCGGCCTCTGCTGCCTGCCTGTGCTCTTCGTGGCGCTGGGCCTGGCCTCGGACCCCATCTTCACGCTGGCGCCCCCACTGCATTGTCACTATGGGGGCTTTGCCCCCAACACCTCTGGCTGGGAGCAGCCCCCAAACGCCAGCGGTGTTGGCGTCGCCAGC